CAGGCACTTAGTCCGCTCAGCTATCTCGCCAGCCCTAGCATCACCATTTTCTCACAGGTCACAACATCAGAGTCCAAGTTAAGTAACTGCCCATCAAGTTACTTGCATCTCACGCAAGGTACAAAATGAATGAGCCCAGACAGTTGGACTTTCAGACACTAAGCTCTTGACCCTTCGGTTGTCTTTACTAAGAAGTCATGATAACATGTGAGCCCATTAGTCATTTGGGGGACCTCTCTAGGGGTGCACGAGCAGGAATAAATGCTTCTTTGTAAATTCTACTGGGCTAACTTTGACAAAGCAAGAAAGTGTCACACAAGGATGTTTCCAGGGCAACTGTGTTCCTGTGCTATCTTGTACAAGTTGCTCAACCTCTCTGGGCCCCAATTTCATGTACAGCAAAATTAAATGATTGCGTTTGGAGTCCTCTGTGGTCCCTTCTTAGTTTCGGGTAGTGAATGTTCCCTGGGTAATTACAGGACTCAAGCAAGTTGCTCATTGCCTTGAGCCTCAGTTTTACCACCAGTGATGTAATAAAAATCCTTCCTTGTGACATTGAAAGGTTAAAGAAAGTGAGAAAAATTTAGTTCAGTAGTGAAGTTTGATCAATATTCACTGTCTTCTTTTTCTCCTTTCCCTGCTTTGTGCTTCCAGTGGTCTCTTTTGTGGCACAGCTTTGGTGGTCTTAGGTCAGTGGTCTAGGTACCAAATACTTTCCACCAGGCAGGAGCTACACAAATCCAAGCTTCCTCATCAGAAGCAGATTCTGCTCTTTTGAGGAAGAATAGAACCAGAAATTCTGGGAAATGCAAGGGCTATTTATAAATGGAATTCTGCTTAAAATGGGACTGTAGCTATTATATTTCATTTGAAAACTTCCACATAAACAATTTAATTTTAGATGTTATTTATTATTCTCTTGCCTAATTGAAACCAGAGGTCATTCTGTGAATAATGAGAAATGTCAGTGGACACTGACACCAGCTGATGGACAGATTTCCCTCTGGCTTTAGAAAAAAACAGGGGAGACTGAACTCTCAAAGCTAGACCTGCTGGAGTATGCTGGATTAGGTATACAGGCACAGAGGCCACAAGGGTTTATGCATTAGGTAAAAGAGGCTGAGAGAAAGAAAGGAGAGAGAGAGAGAGAGAGAGAGAGAGAGAGAGAGAGAGAGAGAGAGAGA